AGACGTACATTACCTGGACCCATGGAGCACAGCCGACGTGGTTACAATTTCATGGACCAGGGGCTTTACTCGACAGACCCATTCGGCAGACTACGTCGCCTCCGCCCCCGCCAAGTTTGCCATTGCTTCTTCCACCTCCTCCTCCACCACCACCACCACCACCGGTGATTCTACACCCACAGTTTATGCCCTCGGTACGCAGACCCTCGATCTCAGCCCCTCGCGGACAATCCTGCCCTACCTCTTCGAAATCGCAGCGCACACGCCGCTCGATCTACAGCACTGATCCTTCCCGTGATGAAGAACCACGCAGTCCAGGGCGCTCGTCCAAACGATCTCGGACAGCATCAGCTTCAGCGCCGCGGCGATCTCGACGGCCCTTTACAGTGTTTTCTTCCAAACGTGCTGGCCGTCCATCGCAGTCCCCATCGGCAACTTGCAAACATTACTGTCATGCCATCCTGCGCCATGGGCGGAAATGTCTTTCCCCTTGTGCTCGCAGACGACCAGGACACTATCATTGCAGGTGTGCGCGACAACACAGACCTCGTTGCTGTGTTTCACCTTGAGTTTGAAAAGTTGCATCACTCTCCAGCGGATGTGCGCGGTTGGCAATGCATGTGTGTCTTTGCCGCAGACTTTCGACTAGTCTTAGCTGTCGTGCGAGCCTGTATTGCCGCTATGAACCCCCAGTATTTCGAGTACCAGATCGATAGAGGAGTGGAATGGATTCGAATTTACTCTCCTCTTGCTTGGTGGTGTGCATTCCGTCTCTGTTCGCCGCTTTCCTTTATAACTTTGAGCAGCTTGCCGGGTTGAAATGTTCAATAGTACAGTGCATGGTGCAGCACGATGGGTCCTACCTCGCTATTTTGACTACGACATCGTCAATGGGCCAGCAAATACGAGTGTGGAATGGATTCGGATCTATGTACCGGGTCAGTGGCATCCAGTCGCCACGAACACCCTGGGACCGGCCCCGGATGACCCGACCACCTATCGGGAATGGCGCAAGGTCCACCACTTCGAAGTGTATTGGCCTAGGGAAAGCACGGGCGGCGCCACCACACGCACGGTTTTGCAACCGGTATCCTATGACCTTCTATACTTGGTATTACAGGGACTGGGTCACCAGGGGATACCAACGTCTGGGTCGTCCACGTCCCAGCATAGCGAGGCCAGTTTTCGCTTCGGGTGCACCGGACCTCATGTATGCTGGATTGACCTCCTCCTCGGCATCATCTAATTCACATGATGGCTGATGCCCGTCCTCGCCTTCCTGGGGAGTCTGTTCAGTTCAATTCGATTCGGGAGATTGACTTCGATGCTGGAGCCGCGCAGTGCTGCAAAAGTGGTCTTTTGCATTATGATAGTTGTTTCGCTTTCACTCGTTGTTGTCTGCAGCCGTACACCTATCAATTTGTCTTTCCGTGGTTGCGTTGTCATGGCGTGGCTGGAATGGTGTCCGGATCCTCAACAACCAGATGCCCAGTGGGTCAAGATCTTTCATCCGGGACCATGGACGCCACAAGAAGAACATGATGCTCCACCTCCTCCGCATACTTTTAGAGAATGGAGGGAGTTCTATGCTCCCAACCAGGACTCAGTCGGTGGGCAGGTCCAAGTCACCACGTGGTACAAACGAGACTGGGCCACAGAGGGCTATCGGAGAGTCGCTGCCCCTCACGCTGGTCATGAATTTGATTCCATGTATCTCCCTGATCATCACAGCGTGGCCACGCAGTCTGCGGCATTGAGTATGTCGCCGGAGCTGTTAGACGCGATTCTCAGGTCCTCGGATGCGGCTGATTTCTCTACTGAAGAACTGACTCGTCTCCAGGAGGGGATTTCTCAACAACTGACAGCTCGCGCACGTCAAGCTTCCCAACCTCATCAACCAGTACGTGCATCGCGTGGAAACACACCATCGGAGACGATTGGGGTCTCCGAGCCCTACCGGCCCGTGAATCCTTCCGACAGTGGCAGAGACAAGGCGAGTCCCATCTTCGAGCTGACTGAGGACTAGACTCGCATGAGTGGCGCAGCGTACAAAATAAGGGTGGTCTCTACACTTGCATGATCTTGCTTGGTTGTTGTTTGAACATGGTTGTGCATGGTGCCTGTTCCTCTACTAGCTGGATCGGAGCCCGCGACAATCCTTGCCTCTCACTTCGACATGGACATCGATGATTCGAAGCAGCACCCATGGCTCGAATATTCGGTCTGGCAGGATCAGGAGTGGGTGCGGATATACACTCCAGGACAGCCTCAACGATGGCACCGCGGTGACGCCGCACCTGATCTACCTGAAAATTCTTCTCGGGAATGGCAGCGGGTGACTGATCCCAATGAGCCGGTCCAGGCATGGGACATCCGCGACTGGCAACATCAAGGGTACCAGCGCATTCTGTCTCGGATTGAGTCCTTCGCAACTCATTATCCACATGATCAATCTCTTGGTCAAGTTCGGAACTCCGATGCCGTTCCAGTTGAGGAGACC